GCCGCCCGTACCTAGGGTTCGTCCGCCGGCCGTGTTGGCCGGCTGCCCTAGAGAGTCTTTTTTCCGAGCCCTTACTCCGGGTTTTTTCGCTCTCTCGCCGGTCGTTTTGATCGGCGTTTACTTTTTGGTTTTCCGATTTAAGATCGGTTTGCGTCGCTCGCCGCCGCCGTCGACACCTCGCGCCTCTACTCCGACATCGGCGCGACGGGCCAGCTACTTCACCGACCCGACGGCCTCGCGTGACAGGCAGCCCTCAAGGCCGTCGTCCGCGCGCCGGCCCGCCCTGCTCCGACCGGGACTCCTGCATCACCCAACCCGGCGGCCTCGCGCCATGCGGCGGCCAATCATAGCCGCCCTGTCGCCCACCGTCGCCGGCTTCATCTCGGACTCCGCCACCATCCCGTCTCCATCGAGCTGCGTCCCCGACCTCGCACGCGATCGACTTGATCACCCGCTCGCCGCCGCGATCCGCCTCATCTACGCCGCGCGACCGACCTGGCCCGTCAGTTACGCGCGCCTCCGCAGGTCCCGTGAAGATCGTCTCCGAGTTCAGCGCGCCCCTCCGCCAATCGAGCAACGGGCTGCCGCTGCGTCGCCCCGTTGGGCCGGAGCACTGCCGTCCCGTGGTTCTTCTCCCGGCTGCACCGACCCGCGTCACCGCTGCGTCGCCCCTTCGGGCCGTAGTGCCGCGGCCCGCGGTCTAACGCCGCTACGAGGTCGTCCGCTCCAGGCCGTCCCCGTGGCTGCACCGATCCTTGCGTCGCCGCTGCGTCGCCCCGTCGGGCCGCAGCGAGCGTGGCACGCGATCCACGCCGTCGTCTCGAGGCCGTCCACGCGGTTGCACCACCCCGCGCTCCGTCGCTGCGCCACCCCTTTGGGCTGTAGCACCGCGGCCCGCGGTCCCTGCGACCGTCCCGAGGTCTTCCGTCGTCGCCCCGACCTGCCCGCCGCCGCTGCGTCGCCCTTTGGGCCGTAGCGCCGCGCCCCGCGGTCCACCGCTGTCCCCGCGCGTCGACTTCCCGTGGCATGCGCCACACCACCTCCTTTGGTGCGGGAACGCCACCGTCCGTGTCGGTCTTCGTCACGCTGTCAGGGTTCTTCGCCTACTTCGAGCATCGCCGCCGCGCTCATAACCTAGCCGCCGTCGCCGCTCTTCTTCGGCCGCCGCCGCCGCTACCCCCGTAGCCGCCGCCGCCGCTCGTCCACCCCGTTCTTCTTCATCCAGCACCAGCCCGTCGCCAGCGTCGCCGTCATCTACCCCGACCGCTTCATCTACTCCGACAACCGCGTGCGACATTGGCCCCGCGCCGATTGGCGCCGCAACCGTCGTCGAGTCCTTCTCTGCTGGCCTCTCCGACTTCTTCGACATGGCGTACAGCTTGTGCAGGTCCCAGTCTACGCATGCCCGATGCTGGCAACACCGCCGCGTGCCTTCGTCCACGACGTGTCCCCGGACCTGGCAAGCCTGGCGCGGCGCTTCGTCAACTTCGTCTTCGTCCGTCTACGCATGCCCGGTGCTGGCAACACCGACGCGTGCCTTCGTCTACGATGTGTCCCCAGGGTTGGCAACCCAGGCGCGACGCGTCGTCAACATCATCTCCGTCCTGGTGCACCACTACTTCGACACCACTGCGCCCACGACTAACTCGGCGCCCCCTTGCGCCCGCGGCTCCACGACGACTTCCTCGACACCGGCCACCCCGACTCGATATCGACCACGGCATTCTTCGCACGGCTACCTCGACCACGGCTCCACCACACACGCTCTCGGCTACATCGACAAACGGCACAAAGGGCTACCGCCTGCTTGAGCAACCTCGTTGGTTTCCACTCCAGCCACGACTCCGCGATGCGTCGACCGTTACGACTGTGGGGGGGTGTCCGTCGGCTTGCCTTCGGATTCTTCTCCAGTCTCACCGTCTGCGTCTCTACCGTTGTGACTGCGGGGGGATGTTGAGTATAATGTTTATTAGGAAAGACGAGATAGACTAGGATTTGTTCTGGCTTGTCTTGTACTCCAAGTAGATAATTGTACTCCTATATATATGCCCACGAGGCTCAAGCAAACGAACAACTATTCCACCAATCCTTCTCTCTCCCCTTCTAACAAGATCTACTCCCTCCGTTTGAAAACAAATGTCGTGGTTCTAAACTCAGGGTGCAAGCGGCGCGGGACATCCCGCTCGGCCGCCATGCCGCCCCGCAAAAATAGCCCGCAAAATGCTGTTGGGCTGACCGCGTCGTGTGTAACAGGCCGATTAAGAGACTTGGATTTGGCATGCATTCTTTGGAATGCCTGGATTTTTGAATGACATCAATGTTGTCAACCGGCCACCATTGATGAATAAGATTGCAAATGGTGAGTTGCCACCGGTGCAGTTTGTAGCAAATGGCCGTACATACAACTATGGCTATTATCTAGCGGATGGCATTTATCCAAAGTGGCAAACCTTCGTGAAGCCGTTGAAAAAGCTGGAAGGTAAGAAAAATCTTGATTTCCACAATGCTCAGGCGGCGGCTAGAAAAGATGTGGAGAGAGCTTTTGGGATTTTGCAAGCCCAATTTGCTATTGTGAGAGGACCGGCTAGATTTTGGGATCAAAAAAATGCTTTGGTACATCATGCACGCTTGTGTGATCATGCACAACATGATCATCGAGAATGAGCGTGGCCAAGATTTAGACTACTCACGGTATGAGCTCTTGGGACATCCCGTGCGAGTGCGATGGAGGGCTGAAAGGGTGGCCCGTTTTGTTGCCTCTATCATGCCATTCGGCGTCCCCCAACGCATAATGATCTTCAGAAGGATCTCATAGAGGAGTGGTGGGCATGGCATGGACGACAAAGAGCATGATTTCTGCGTTCGACATTGTATTGTTCATGAACTATTTGTTGTGTTTATTGCAGTATTTATTGTACTGAACGATAAACTATTTGTTTGGGTTATAATAGTAACGAAATTGAACTATTTATTGTTGATTTATTTTGTTAGTTTGATCATTTTGCTTCTATTTGAAATGTATATGTTGTTTGTGCGAGTCGCGCGCGCTGTATTTTTTGCGCGCTGCTGGAGCGGCGCGCGCGCGTTGCATTTTAGCGCGGCTATTGAAGACAACACTGGCGGCCACGCAAAACCTGACGAACGACACGCGGCAAACTAATTTTTAGCATGCGGCGTGAAGCGCGGCTGTTCAAGATGCTCTTAGGCCACCGCTGCTGGGACACTTTCCTTTAGTGCTTGGGCCGCTATCCGACACTTGGACCTTGCTAGCTGCCTCACCCATCATTGGACTGCACCTTGGCAAACCTCCACCGCTCCATCAGGGCTGGATCTGCACGAAGAGACCGGGAATAGAGAGGAAACGGGTAGCTGCCCTTCGCCGGCGATAGCTTTGAGCCAACCTATATGCGGGGCGGGCCTCCCATTTTTTCTTTTGTTTTTTTTGTGTTTTCCCTTTTTCTTCCTGCTTCTTTGCAAAAAGTTAGGAATTTTAAAAAAGTTCTGAATTTAAAAAAAAGTTCCAAAATTCTAAAGATTCACGAATTTTAAAAATGTTCTACGATTTCAAACAATGGTTCGAATTTTCAAAAGTTCTTTTTTTTGGAAAATGTTCCATATTTGTAAATGTTCACAAAATTACAAAAATGCTCTCATATTTTATTTTTTTCATGAATTTCAAAAAATATTATCATATTTGAAAAGTTTGTTTTGTGGATTTGAAAAAAAAATCTGAATTACAAAAATTGTTCACATATTTGAAAATGTTCCCATATGTAAAAAAATATTCACGGTTTTTCCCAGTTGTCAAAAAAATTCCATGAATTGAAAACATGCTCCTTGATATCAAAAATTATTCACGAATTTGCAAAAAGTGTTCCCGGATTCCAAAAAATGTTCCAAAATTCAAAACATTTCCTGTATCCAGCAACCTACAACCCCTCAAAATAAAATCCAGCAACCTACATGCGAAATAGGTGCTGTGCTGCACGAAGACTTCCGTGTTGTTGCCTAAGTTCCAAAATAGTTGAAGTTGTAGATTTTTTTCCTAAGTCAAATTGACTAGCTTTATAAAAAAAAGATGTGCTAATATGCACGGGACAACATACACATAGTACGAAAAATCATAAAGATAGTAACATACTTATCAAAATCGTGGCAAGATCGTGGTACTAGTGAGGCACCATGGCAAGATCGTGGCAAGCCATGGCGAAAACCGTACGACACACATGGCAAGATCAAACGGTCCGTGGGCCAGGAACTTGTAGCCCAACTAAACAACGAAACCGAAGCCTCCACAGTCACGGTCTCCATTTCACACGGAGTTCACTAAAGAAAAAAAACATCACAGGGAAGGCCGGCCAAATCGCCGCCCGGAAGCGCCCCCAAATCGGCAAACCCTCGCCGCCGACGACGATGGCCGGGCGGCCGCCGTTCACCAACGTCGACCGGGAGACGGCGGCGGGCTTGCGGCGCAGCGGCTTCAACCCGCGCGAGCTGGACCGAGCCGCGGAGCAGCTTCTTGCGTACGTCTCCACCGAGCTCCTCCCCGCACCGCCCGTCTCCGAGGCCCCCCTGCGCAGCCTCGTCACCACCGACGCCGACGGCGTCGACCGCATCAGCGCCCTCCTGCGAAGCATCGGCTCGCGCCTCCCCGCCTCCGAAGCCCCCGCGCACGACCCCGTCATCACCGGCGCGGCGCACGACCCCGCACTCCCCGCCGCCGACGGCGTCGACCGCCTCAGCGCCCTCCCCGACGCACTCCTGCGCCACATCGTCTCCCGCCTCCCGGTCGCGGACGCCGCGCGCACAGCCGCGCTTGCCTCGCGCTGGCGCCGGGTCTGGCTCTCCGGCAGCCCGTCGTGGTCGACGCTTCCCTCCGTCCCGACGACTATGCCTGGCCTCCCACCCCCGCCAACACGCCGGCCATCACCGCCGCCGTCTCCGGCATCCTCGAGGCGCACCCGGGGCCCTTCCGCTGCGTGCATCTCACCTGCAGCCACATGGGCGCGCACCAGGCCCAGCTCGCGCGCTGGCTGCAGCTCCTCGCTGCCAAGGGCGTCCAGGAGCTTGTGCTCGTCAACCGCCCGTGGCCGTTTGATGTGCCCCTCCCGGACACGCTCTTCGGCATCAGCACGCTCGTTCGCCTCTACATCGGCCTCTGGAAGCTCCCAGACACAGCCGGCCTCCGCGGCGCCTGCTTCCCCAACCTCCGGGAGCTCGGCATCTGCACCGTCGTGATGGAGCAGGGGGACGTCGAATCCATCGTCGCCAGCAGTCCTGTACTGGAGATCCTGAACGTCCAGGGAAGCCACAGGGGGCTCCGCCTACGCCTCGTCAGCCAGAGCCTACGCTGCGTGCAAGTCTGCAGCTCAGTTGTGGAGAGCATCATGGTGGTGAAGGCTCCATGCCTCGAGCGGCTCGTCCTAGAGGGATGTCGGCACACGGCTGCTGGCCTATCTACTAGGGTCAGCATTGTTGATGCCCCAAAGTTGCATTCGCTTGGATCATTGGAGCCTGGAAATCATGTGTTGGAGATCAGAGGCACTATCATAACGGTAAATGTCTCATGTCTCTAGATATGTCCCACTGCTCTAGGTACATGCTTTGTTCTGAGATTTGGTCAATTTCAGGCTGGGGTTAAGGTGAGCAGAAGCAGCATTCTCACAAGCATCAGGACCCTCAGCTTACATGTGCGTTTCGCGGTCCCCAATGAGGCAAATATGGTTTCAACATATCTCCAATTCTGTCCAAATGTCGTGCGACTGCATATCACGGTATGTGCCAGCAATTCATGTTTTAACACCTGTAGCAATATTTATTATATCAGTTTATTTTTGGAAATCCATTTTGGCTCCCGGGTCCAGATGATCCCACAATCTGGACCGCCCCTTCTCATCATGATGCATGCCTTGGTGTTATTCCACGTCATATTTGGACGGCAGTGGTTTTCCCGTGAATACCCAATGGCCCATGTACAGTTGCCAATAAATGTTGTCTCCTGTTAAACTGGCGCTGGTAGTTCCACCTGATGGCAACCTTATAAAGATAGGTTTCTTGCTTGGGACTAGTCTTCAAATTTTCAAATTCAAAAATGTGGGGGACACACGTGTCACATCAAGCAGGGCAAGCATCACACCGGCAATTACTCGCTGCATTTACATGCCCCTCCCAACCAAAACAGTTGTGGAACAATTTTTTTTTCATGCTACTGAAAGTGCATTCAAACAAGATCGGGGTAAGTCAGCACAGATTTCACAGGTTCACCTAAATAGTTCTAGATTACAACACACACTTCCAAAAAATAAGATTCAGTGTTCAGCTTAACACCCACAGGATTTGTGCAAGTGTTCTTCCAGTGCCTGGCAACGCCACAGTTTGCTGCATTTGGCCTCCTACCTGGGCAGATTCGGCAAATTACCTCTCTTTGGGCAGGTAGTCTTTTTGTGCCTCTACAAATGCTGCAAAACCGAGTTCTCAGCTCCTCATATGGTGCTTTCTCACGGCTGTTCTTTGCGTTTCTTCTCTGGTGCTCCTAGACCACCAAGTGTGCCATCCTGCATTGCTGGGTTAACATCGGCTGGATCAACCCTGTTTTCATTGGCCCTAGCTGCCATGCCAGCCCCATCAGACACCCTGTCTTCCAAAGCAAGGCTGTCTCTCTGATCCTCGAATTCAGCAAGAGTAGCAATGCCTCCCCTTAAAATATCCATACCCTTCTCGTAAGCTGCTACGCATGCATCTCCAAGACGGACTAACTCCATAGCATGAACGTACAGTGTTGTGTGGCGATGGGTCATTGTTCGTGTCCCAGCATGGTCATGCTGGTATACCTGTAGGTGTTGTGGCAGAATATCCCTGACATCCGTTGTTCACCTCTTCAGTATCAGGTGCTGCGATATCTCCGTGTACCCAGGACATCCATCACCTGCAATTAGAACCATGATTTGAGGCAGCAGTTCCAAGTTTGTGAGTGTGGCAAAACAAAAAATAAAACAAAGACATACTTTCAGTATATAGCAACAGGGCATCCCCATATGCTCGAACTGGACTCAAATTTGTCTCCATCATCGAGGATCCTCACTTCATAGATAACCCTTGCCCATTTTTCCCGTCTCTCCGCCTGAGTGTGCGTTGCCCTGTATAGCTTCTTTTCTATTTCTTCAGTTTGGTATGCATGGGCTTGATACAGCAAGTCACTAAACTTCTCAAACATGCCCCTTGTGTAGATCCTGCTTGCATGTCTCTCTATCGACATGTTGCATTTAACCACAACCCCTGCACGAAAGACAGCTTAGTCCTTTGTCAGTTTATCATTTTCAGAATAAAGAATATATAAGCCACTCATGGTTTTAGTCCATTTCTCCTCATAGTTTTCCTCCGAACCCCCGTCGAATTGCAAATGCATGTACTTTCTCTCAAACATGTGCATTGGACACCGGGGCGGCACGTATGTCTTCAACATGCTGTTTGCGCTCTCACTCTGTTGCGTGCTAGTCATTTTAGCACAGAAAACTCCCTTGAAGTATGGTTTTTCCCATTTTATCTGGGTCATGTACACATGGCTCTTCAGGTTGTACTTCTCTATCAGCATCTTCCAAGTCTCCTTGAACTCATCAATTGTCAACATGTGATTGATTACTTTGTAGAACTAAGCCCTGAACTTGCTCCGTCGTGTGAACAATGACCCAAGTGTCTCCTTTGCTTTCTTCAACACGTGCCATTTGCACCACCGATGAGCTGTCGACGGCAAAATGTTCTTGATTGCAACATCCATCGCCCTATTCTGATCTGCAGCACAGAAACAAACTGATTTGTTGTAAACCACCCATGTGAGACATCATAATTTTGTTTTATTATCAAGCTTGTATCTTTGTTACCTGCTAAAATCGTAATAGGCGGCTTGCTGCCCATCATCCTAACAAATTCTGTAAAAACCTACTCAAAGCTTTCTACCTGCTCATCACGAAGCAACACTCCTGCAAGTATAATGCTCTGGAAGTGGTTGTTTACCCCCTATGAACAAGCCAAACGGCATGTCATAAAGGTTGGTGCTGTATGTGGTATCGTGTGTAATGACGTCTCCAAAGTAGACGTACTGATGTCTACTGCTCCCAGTTGCCCACATCAAATTCTTAATCCGTCACCCTTCATCTGGCTGCACAGCATTATCCGCAAATACATCAATGGTTTTCCTGACATTATCCTTCACCTGCCGCCTGTTTATTTTTCCACACAGATTCCCCAGTGTTCTCTTTGTGAATGGAACCTTGTCGACATCGCCAAAAAAAACTTGCTATTATGCTGTAAACCTTTGTGACATTTACATTATTCTCTCTAAGTTGCTTGACCAAATCCTTCGTGTACACGTCTATGTGCTTGCGTGACGGCTAGTTCACATTCTCTCCACATGTGGGGGTTAGCGACTGGTTGTGAGTAACCCTGTGTTCTGTAATGTACCATCCATTATCCGATGTGCGGAGCAACCTGATCATGGCTGGGCACTCACAACGGCATGATCTGTTGTTCTCTGTTATGGGCTTCCCCTGTAATTACAACATGGCATTTAGAAAATTTGGCAAAAGAATTGCAGATGAATTGAACAGAGAGACACATTCCTCTGTACACTTACAGAGCATCAGCAGACCACCTCCTGCATATACTTTGTCTTCTCAGCATTGAGCCTCCTTTTCCCGCATCTGATGCCAAACCCATGCTCCCACGAATAAAGGTTGTAAAAATTGTAGGCCTCCCCAAGTGAGTCAAATGTTAGCCCAATAGCAGGCTCGACCACATGCTCACCTATATCAGCATCCCCCCGAATTGTCTGTTCTAGCGCACCTGTTCTATCAGGACATGGCTTCCTGTCCGGCGGATGCTTACCAACTCTAACCCTGCAAGCAGCAGCAAACAACACATTTTTAAAAGATTATGGTTTAGCTGAATCTTCTTTTGGTGCAGCACTGTCAAGACAAAACTGGTTTCTTTAAATGGGTGAGTGCGGGTTCATCATCCAATTTCAATCTGCAACTTTCATTGTACAACACATTCATAACAGACATCAACCAGAAATTGCAATTACTAGTTCAGTATAATCAAGTGAACTAACATCAGACCTACTAATATCATTCTACAAACATTCACAACACATCAGAGTCCACCAAGTAACCAAAATGAAACTGCACCCTAATGCCAAATTCACAGTTCGGAAATCAAAAAGGTTAACACTGTTCATAATCAGATATCCCAGGTCCATACCTGTTAGTCCACCCTGGAGCTTGGTGATCCCAAAATCTAAGCCGGGGATTTCTTGATCCAGTAGGGGAAATGTTTACCTGTCGATTGGAGGCACATGGAAGTCCATCGCCATGTCTGCTCCAGAGTGGCTCTGAACTGCTCACCGCTGCCGCCAATGGGTGTGCGTACTGCCCCTCTGGCGCCGCACTCGCCGCCGCCCTCACAGCCACTCCCAGATTCTTATCCCCTCACGACCTGGCCCAAGCTGGTAAATGGGCTGCAATCACTCCGGCTTTGGCGTGTGGGGTCTCACGACATCCTGTACCACGGGCCCCGAACGGAACCGCACGGACCTGTACCACTTGTGCGTAATCCCAACGGAACGGCCAGCAGCACCACCGTAACGCCCCGTCTGGTCGAGCCGTCCATCGTTTATACGTACCAGCACCTGCCACTATGTATTCCATATTTTACTGCCACCATATTGTTCAATCAATGACACCTGGTACAGATCACGAAGCTCAACTGGACGGCAGAGATAACAGGATCACTTAGACCCAGGAGCCAAAACGCCCCTCCCTTTTGTTTTCCATTTCTTTGTTGCAGAGGCACAATGCATACACCACCTCACTTTTCACTCGCTGCGTAACACATAGTTTTTAGAGTTGAGCACTCCATGTAATTGATGAATTTCAACTTCCAAACAAAAGGTTTCCCTTTTTCACGAAAAACGTACTACCCTAATACTGTCACCTTACATGACATTTTTCTGTTGAAACTGCTAGTAGCAACCATCGACCAATGTATCTGAGCTAATTCCTGCTTTGCTTACATTCCCACCATTTTCCTGTAAATGTTACATGTATTTCTCCATCATGCAGCAGTTTTTAGTACTTGTAGATTGTTTGCATAGACCAGTCACGACTAGATGTAATATCTGATATGTGATATTATTGACCAGTCACGACTTAAATGCCAAGCCTTGCTCAACACGCATAGGCTAGATGTGATTTGTTTCTCTTATGACATTTGGTAGAAAATGTATTGTTCCACAATTTATATTGTGTATATCTTGTCAGCATTTAGGTAATGCATGCACAATATTTGCTTCACGGCATATATTGAGGCTATCTTCATTCACCAAATTTCCACACCTTACTTGGTTGCTCTGCAACTATTGACCAATTTAATCTGTTTTTGCAGTCCAGAAAATGTAATCAGCACACTGGTAATCTCAGGCTCAATTGCAAGGTGGGTCCCACTGATAGTGCCATGTCGCGCATCAAAGTAATGTATTTCCGTGAATTCCGAGGGGAACAAAGCGAGATTGCCTTCCTCAAGCTCTTCTATAAGAGCGCGAAGATGCTGGAGGCTGCTGTGGTAATTATGGCGAACCCAAGCTTCACACCGTTTCGGGCAGATGTGGCGTTTTCCAGAGCGTGGCAAGCGTCTAAGGTCAGTAGGTGCCAAGCCAGCATGGTTCTTGAGGGCACAGGTCCTGAAGGTGGCAAGGCGTGGAGTTTCAAAAATGCAAGTTATTTTCCATCCGAGGAAATTCTCCCAACGAAAGTCATCAACCTAGGGCAGTAGAGGTTTCTTGGGATGTGCTGAACTATGATCATGTGTGGTATCTGCAATCTGCTTCATTTGGCAGCCACCCGTCGAATTTGTGGCCTGATACCTGGTGGAATCAGACATACCATGAATTGGTAATTTTGCTTGCTGTGTACTCTGTGATATCTGTGCACAATCTGGTCTTGCCATGCGTCGAAGTGATCACATATCTATCTATCTATCTATCTATCTATCTATCTATCTTTGAACTGCATGAACAGTGACTTTAAGTACAAGCCCTGCCGTTCCTTTTCATGCCTTGCACATATCTGAAAGTGCTTTTCCTGCTCTGCATGTAGCAGCGAATCGCAAGACGGAATATAATTTGTTATTATTGGTTGCATGCTTTATCCCTTCTATCTTATAGCGTTAGGTTAGATAATCTTTGCTTGCACGACATTTTGATGCCATGTTGGTTGATCTATAATGCTACTTTCATGTTGAGATTTTATTTTGCGCTGTTTTCTTTGGCCTGTTCGGTTCTTTCTGCAGCATAGCAGGTGGCCTTTTGAGGTTGTGGATAGAGTTTGAGTACTATGAACTGCATCCATGTGTATGCAACATGGAAAATGCAGAAAATGAACTGCTTGTGTAACTTTTCGAGAATTGTATGGAATTGGGCAGGACGGAGGCTGCCTCTTCCTTTCTCCCGCGGCCGTTCACCGGGAGAAAGAAACAGACATTGTACCACCAGTTTGCGACTGACTGTTTGATAGTGTTACAAGCTGAATTCAGTTCAGTTCGGTTCAGGCGTCGTGGTCATACTGGCCGGCTTGCGATGCCGCAATCCTATCCTTTGATCGCCTGAGAAAAATACTGTATCAGAAGAAGGAAAGGAAATACATCCTGACAGAGAATCGCATATGCAAAGGGGCCAAATATTAGCCCAACTACAGAGACTATAGGAGTGAAAATTTTGCAGATAGAATTAAGAGAACACAGTAGTTGCTGCTGCTGTAGGGTGGTGTTCCTTTCCTAGGAAATTGCATATTTCTTATTTACAAAGTAAGGAAATTTCACATTTCATTAAAAAACATACAACTTTTTCGAAATCAGTGCCTGGGTTGCCCTTAGATCAGAGACAATTCAGCATATATAGCATGACAGAATTCTATGGACAATTTTGTATTCGACCAAATATGTAATTCTTGATTAAAGACATAGATTTTTTTTTATAGCTCACATCCTTTTGCACAGGTAGGATCTTCCCGTTGATATCTTTCCTCCTTTGGTTGATATCCTTCCACGCTCCCATCATCCTCATCTTTCATCATCTGATTCCACAATTTGATGATATCGATTCGGAGCTGATCGGAAATGAGATCAGTGGCACCCTTGATGGCTGCCTCTATCAGTTGGCCTCTATAGTCTCCACCACTTCGCTGGTCGCGCCTCAACAGTCTATATCAACAAGGAGATACTTGAGGGTAGGGCTGCAGGGCGGTGCCTAATCCGCCCAGCTCCGTAGTATAAACAGATCGGCTTAGTTGTGTGTTTTTATAGCGATTTGGTTTAGTTTTGGTCTAGTTCTTACTTTTGCGGGACTATACGGGACGCAGCCCTGCATCCCTAGTTGAGGGGCGGAACTTGGGCATAGCATCAACCTCAAACATCTTCATACAAAATAATTAAATTTTACTCCCTCCGTTCCTAAATGTAAGTCTTTGTAGAGATTTCATTATAAACTGCATATAGATGTATATAGATGCATTTAAAGTTTAGATTCATTCATTTTGTTCCGTATGTAGTCCATCTAGTGCAATCTCTACAAAGGCTTATATTTAGGAACGGAGGGAGTAGAAGCTTCAGAAACATTCAATTTTTCAAGTTTCACAATTTTCAACTTTCAGAAACTGGATTTGTAACGCTGGTGCATCAGGACTATACCTTGTTTGTTGCCTGACGCAGCCCTGCCTCGCTTCTATGTTTTATTATATGTGTTTTATTTATGGTTTTCACCGGGCCTTCTTCCAGTTTTCTCTTTTTCTGTTCTTTTTTCCTTTCTTCTTTTTTCCTTTTTCCTTTTTATTTTTCAAATATATGTCGACTTTCTAATGCACATTGTATATTTTTTGTAGGCACACTGAATTTTTTTGTACACACCGAACATTTTTCAAGTACAGGATGAAGAATTTTTTTATTCAAATACATGTTAAACATTGTTCAAATAAACGATTAACATTTTTTTGGTACTAAACAATTCTAAAATTACCTGAATATTTTTTACATTGCAGCTTTAAAAAGTAACAATCATATTTTAAAATGCGTGAACTTTTAAAACATTTCATGGACATTTTTAAAATGGTACATGATTTTTTTTTCTTAAATTATGTGATATTTTTTACATTTTATAAACAAATTAAAGTCACAAACATATTTTTGAATGGTGCAAAAAAATATGAACATTTTTAAATGTTAGGGTTTTTGAAATGAATGTTGTAGAAATATAAGTAAATTAGTTTCTGTAAAATATGTACTTAAAAAAGTTCCAAATCATAACCCCCCACGCTCGCAGTGAGGTTCTTAGAAAGAGCCTGTGAATGTGGTTGAACTTTTTTATGCAAAATGATAGCTTGAGAGAGATGTCCCTCCTTCTAGGGGCAAGTAGTATATTTTGGTTGTTTAAGTTGTCTCGTTGCTCCCTCAAGGAGGTTGCTCGTCGTTGGATGCGAAATGCACCGGGATGTACTTTCACCTTATCCTTGCTACATGCGGGCTCCTTCTCGTGTGTGTCACTTTGTCTCCTGTGAAGATCATGTGGATCAGCTTGAGGCCAACACATGTTATCTCTTCCATTCTTATGGTGTTGGTGTGCGATTCTGCTAACGAATATTTTCCCTTCCATGTCATGCGTTAGTGGAAGGTCGACCTTGTCTTTCCAATTTGTTTCTGTGGCATGTTGCCTCGAATATTTTATTAGCTATAGTCGATATCTTCCTCTTCTTCTTCTTCAGAGATCCATTACCGCGCTGCCCATTGCGCCAGACACGACCTTCTCCCGCTACTCATGACTAACATCACTATCGTACTGTCTCGTTGCCCCGGCCCTCCATCTAATCGTAAGCCAATTTTCTACTGTAAGCCCCCTCTGACAATGTAGTGACTACCCGCACATCCCCTTCTCTAGCTCATTACCGGATCAGCTTCATCAAAGATGCCGTGACTCACTCTGTCGTCTTTGCCTTAGTGCTCCTTACCTCACCTCTTCTTCAGGGTAAATTGACCGAATGCAAATCATTTCTAGCAAATCACAACAAATAGCAAAACTGATGAAATAATTCTTTGAATCTAACGTCGCTATATGAATCTGGTGATTAATTTCTCTTTGAAAAATATCGTTTCATAACCTCGATCAACCAAACTCTTATGAAATATCAATTACAAACTCATACCTTCAATATAATTTTTATTGCATGTAAGATTGATTTCATACTAGATCATTAACATCGTCATAGGACAGGCAGTAGTGGTCACTTTGGCTCCAAAGACTGAAGACAGAGCTCCCCCCACGTCGTCCGCTCTCGGGCGACTCGGGGGCAAAACCCTAGTCACCCGCCGGTTCCCCGCCTCCCCTCCTCCTCCCCCGCCGCTGCCGGCAGCCGTCGTCGGGCTTGCCCGCGCGGCGGTAGGCGGCGGCGGGGCTTTCCCGCACACCCGCCTCGGCCTCTGGAGACCACCCTACCCCGCATCAGGCGCCGCCACCCGCTTCCCCGGAACCCGGTGACCGCCGATGCCGGCCCTCTGCGGCGGCTGGTCGCCGGCGTTGTCGAGTCGGCCCCCTCCCGATCCGGTGCGGGGGCCTCCTGGGACGACTCCACCTGTTAGATTAGGTCGGCTCTGCACTGGATCGGGGCCAGCTCCTTCGATCTGGTGGCTGGTGGGCCGGGGTTCGCCGGATCCGCACGGATCTGGCCGGCATGGCACTGCCTCGTCCTGCCCGGCTTGGGTTTTCGCGGTGTGGTGCTTCCTGGTGGTTGCGGTGTGGGTCTTTCTCCATGTTTCGACGGGATGTGTGCGGTGGGCAGATGCCGGGGCAGCAGCCTCGGGCGGTGTGGACGGCTTTGCCTCTTCGGCGGGCGACGGCCGTGGGTGCTGGTGGTCCGCGACTTCGGCCATGCGGGCGGCGAGGTCTCGGTGGACGTCTACTATAGTGGGTCGGGGTGCCCCATCACCCGGCGTGCCTACTTCGATGAAGTCGAACGCCTTCTCCGGCTGCGTGCGCTCCTCTGGCCAGGTCTTTGGCCGGGTTGATGGGATGGGGGCGGGACTGGGGGGAAACCCTTGGCCGTCGGCAGAGGCCACGACAATGGCGGCGCCTTTGCTGGGCGTCAGTTCCCTTCTTGGAGGCCTTGTCGAGGTCCTCTCCCGTCTTTCACTGTGCTCTTCTTTTGGGCGAAAGCTCTAGTTCCCCTTGCCGGCGACGGCGTCGTACCCTCGTCGCGCTCCTTCTTGAAGGCGTCGCCTCGGTTCCCGGAAGCAAGGTGGACGCTTTGAGGTGCGTGTGAGGTGTTTGGCGGGGCAATATGTGCAGCGTTTCATCTATTCTACCGTCGGTCTTCATCTTGTGGTAGCGCTCCTTCGGCTTGGAGATGGACTAGCGTACGTGGTGGTTGTCGTTTGGCGTCATGGTGGCGTCGATGGCGGAGGAACCTCCTAAGATTGGCACCTCAATCTGCTATGAAGATGGACCAGTGGAAGATGGTGGTGACGACACATGTGAGTGCGTCGGACCGGATTGTTCCCCGGACCCGGTATGTTGCTCGATCGGGGCTTCCGGCTTTTGATGTTAGGCTTAGGTGAGAGGTTTGGGTATATGACCAGCTTGCACCCCTTCATCATATGGATAAGAGTAGCGGCAGATGTTGCCAAGATGGCGGATTCAGGCATATTGTTGTACTACTTTGTAAGGTCCTCGAGAATAATCAATAAAATGGCCGCATGCATCTCCCAGATGCAGAGGTCGGGGTCATCCTCCT